ATGACTTGGAGATAGGTCCATCGATCGTCCACAATATGAAGTCTGAGTCATCCAATGAAGATGATCGGGATGCGTGGCCGAGAGTCCTATATGAAGTCCAAGTCATCAAATAAAGAGGACTAAGAGGTATGACCGAGAAATTGATATAAAATCTGATTCATCAAATAAAGACGGCTAGGAGGTATGGCTGAGGGGCCGATATGAACTCCGTGTCATCAAATAAAGATGACTAAGAGGTATGGTCGAGAGGCCTGTATGAACTCTACGTCGTCATCAAATAAAGATGACTAGCTAAGAGGTATGTCTGAGGGACCGATATGAACTCCGTATCATCAAGTAAACATGACTATGAGGTATGGACAAAGAGCCTGTATAAACTCCATGTTATAAACTAAAAATGACTAGGAGGTATGGTCGAGGGCTTGACATGAACTCTGCATCATCAGATAAAGATGAATACGATGTATGTATGGCTGAGAGGCCTGTATGAACTCCGTGTCGTCAAATAAAGATGACTAGGAGGTACATATGATCGAGAGGCCCGTATGGACTCCACGTCATCAAATAAATATGACTAGGAGGTATGACCGAGAAAGAAGGGAGAGCTACAGAGAAAGTGATATCGGGGTACCACTAGGGATATGTGTTTTTGTGAGAGAGAAGAGAGAGCTAGAAGGAGAAAGTGAGAATGTATATTATTCTTCCAACCCTTTAAAAGAATCTCAAAGGGGAGTGTATATATGCAAAATATGGGCTTTACAGCTAGGCTGGGCCTAGCAGACCCAATTACATCAAAAGGGGTTAATACAATATAAAAGCTAGTCTATGGAGGAATGTTTGGAAGTGCCAGGGGCTTATGATCGAGGGCTTGTCGAGAGATCACCGAGGGGGTCATGCCAAGTGCTCGCCGAGGGTGGTAGTGTAGATTCCTTAATGTTTATGCTTGTAATTTTAACTAGTTTTCATTGTTTGTTGTTATGAAAATTACACACGTTTGGTGTAATACTTTAGTTTCTTAGATATTTGTAATTTATTTAGATTATAAGTTTTTTGAGCTTATAATCGGTTAAGGTCGTCCAAAGGATCAAGAATGGATCTTGAAAGACCAAGGAATGTGAAAAGGGACAACATAAAATGAAGATCTGTACCCTGTTCCGATACTTGCTTGATTTGGTCGTCTAAATCAAATCCGGAGAACACATGATCATGCATGAATATTTTGTAAAATTTTGCCTTATACCCGACCAGGTGATGGGATTTTGCACCTTCTGGGAAACTGCCTCAAATACCTGATCAGGTACCTGACCCTGACAACTCCAAACCCCTATAAAAGCACCACTTTCCTTTTCATTGAAGATCACCAATTCACATACACTCTTAATATATTTTTCATACATAGTGTTAAAGTTGTGTGTTATTTTCTTAACTCCTCTTGAATATTAATTCTTTCCTTAGCCTATCAATAAAATGCCAATTTTGAAATATTTTTGGGTTTGGGGTTGTAGGGCGGTTGCGGTTAACATCATGATTGAATCTCAGGATGTGATTTTTGATGAAAAGAGGTTTTCATCAATTCAAAGGTCAAAAGAAACTACCAAGAACTAGAAAGGTGCAAGGTCCATAATGTTTGAATGGTGTTTTGGATTCTGAAACACCACAAATTAGGAAAACCAAAATAGGCCGCATCGTGAAAGACTTTGGTCCCGATTTTCACTTGTATTTAGTGGAAGGTTCAAGGGATGAAGTAGGGGCACAATATTCATATTGGTACCAATTGATGATGTTGCCTTTTGGAAGAGGCAATTGATGATGGAATGTCATCGATTTTGGAGAACAACACTTGGGTGTTGTCGGATTTGCCACCGAGCTCTACACCTTTAAGTTGTAGATGGATCTTCAAAAAGAAGATGAAGGTGGATGGATCAATTGACAAGTTCAAAGTCCGATTAGTCTTCAAGGCTTTAGACAAAAACTCGGAAGTGACTATTTTGACACGTATGCGCTGGTTGCTCGAATGATGACCATTAGGTTGTTAATTGCTTTGGCGACTTTACACAATATGATTATACCTTAGATGGACATCAAGACGGCATTTCTAAATGATGTTCTTGATGAGGAAGTATAAATGAAACAACCCAAAGGTTTCATTATGCCCAGAAATGAGCATAAGGTATGTAAACTTGTGATAACCCCAATTTCTCGGAGTTGTAGTAAAATGGAGTAATAATTCCAGATGGAAAAATCTACCCTGAGTATCGTATCTCTAAGGAATGGCAAAAGGAAGTGTTGATTTCAATTTCGATCACCGGTTAATTCGAGTTATTGCAAGCTTTCTCAAATAATTAATTGTGAAAATGGTTGAATAAATTAAAATAAACAATAAAAATACTAATGGTGAAATTAATTAAATAACCGGAGTAAGTAAAAAAAATAACATGGCAAACCTAAAAACCTACTCTTGCAAATAAACAGAAACTAGTAAACCTCTAAATGATGAGTGTTTTTTTAAAATAAAATACTAATATAATAATTCAAAGTGACTAGGAATAATATTCCAATTCAAATCAATATTCAAGAACTACTTTTAATCTTGACCTGAATCTTGACCTGAATCTTGACCTGTAAGAATCCAAACTCCATTAAGAATTGGCCAAACATGATTATACAAAACTAACACAAGTGGTTGAATGCATTTCAATCCACAAACACAATAAAAAAAACTAACATATCAATATCATTTAAGATGAAATTCTGGAGCAATTAGCAATACCTAAAGTATATTAAGGATAAAGAACTAAGCTGTCCAAGAGAAAGAAACTGAAATTGAGACCTTAGGATTAAATTGAATGAAATTGCCTTCTTCTTTTTCGAACCTACGGCTACTGGTGCTGCAATTTGTTTTTCCACTTGCGGCTACTTTAGAAGAGGGAAAGAAAATTGGTTCTGGGCTTTTGCTTGAACCTGATGCTGCTGCAATTTCTTTTCCAAGACCAGCGGCTGCTGCTCTTCTTTAAACTAGCAGCTGCAGTTTTTTTTTCTTTCAATTGAAGACTTGCTCTCCCCCTGGTGCAGAAGATGTGTAGAATTCGGAATCGGCGGCTGAAAAAGTAGTGCTAATCTCCTCCTTTTCTTAAGTGTGGTGCGGCTGGAAAAGGTCGGTCTGGGTGATTCTTCCTCCCCGATATTTAAACGGCGGGAGATGATTTTGATCTCTTCCCCAGCCGTTTTGGCCATTCATCCGCTTTCAGATTAGTTTTTCTTCCTAGAAATCCTCCGCCGATCCTTCCGTTTTGCTGTCGTTTTTCTTTTTCTTTTCTTTTGGGTTTGCTGGACCAGAGTAAAAAGAAGGAAAAATATCACAAATAGACTAAAAAGGTGAAGTTATATCACTTTTATCGCTTTCCGATTTTTCTTTCAAAAATAGATTAGTTAACTTTTTCTTTTCACAAATCAACCATGTGTCCGTATGGTGTATGCCCATTCACTGGAATTCAAAGAAGCGCACGTGAAGTGCACAGGAAGATCCCACTTTAGCATAATACTCCCTCCGTATCTTTAAAATCTTCCCATTTCAAAAGTAGGTAGATTAAGAATAGTGAAAGATGATATGAATTATTGAGGGTATGATGGGAAAATAGTGAAATAATGTGGTGGAATGTAGGATAAATCCAAAAAAAGTAGTTGTAATAGTGTATTATTTTAAGAATTATTGAGGGTATGATGGGAAGATTTAGAAATGGGAAGATTTTTGTGTTACGGACGAAAAAGGAAAGTGGGAAGATTTTTAAGTTATGGAGGGAGTACGTAGTAGTGTAGTACTATGTACGGCGCATAAACTAAGATCCCATGTTGACTTTTTTTTCTTTTTTTAAATAGCTCACAGTATTACTTAATTTTGTTATTTTTATAGATTTTTTTTTTTTTACAAATGTACATAAATGTAAAAGAAATTAAAATAATCGAAAACGAAATGTAAAATAACAAGTTTTGTAATGTTATTTTTTAGAAACACTATGTACTCCATAATTTACAAAATGAAATTTTAAAAAAATAATGAATAAAGCAAAATATATAAATATAAAATCATAAAAAAGTAAAAATACAAACTTTCTCAAAAGATGAAAAAACCTAAATTAAACCTGTGACTTAAATTTCAAAAAATAAAATAAAGATATTTTATTTTTTATTTTTAAATCAGAAAAGCGTTAAAGATGTATAGAAACTTTAGAAACACATGACTCAAAACTAAACGTAAACATTTAAAATGTAGAAAAAGATGTAAAAAAGTAAAAAATAATCTTTTTATTGATGATTTTTTATAAAACAAAAATCGAAACTTTAATATAAAAAATAGTTGAAAAGGTCTAAAACCCTGAAAATTAAAGACAAAATATAAAAAACGAAGACAAAAATATGTTTGTAACTATTAAAAAATATGAATAAAAATTATGGAGTATATTTTTTTATGGAAGAGTATTTTTGTAAGAACCAGAATGTATACAGAGTAAAAAATCCAAAAACAAACTAATATAAAAATTTGAATATAAAAAAAACAGATTAAAATTTATAAAATATAATTAAAAAAGAAATAAATATTCTTAATACTTTTAAAAATTTGAAAAAAAAAATTAAAAAAATGTGGTGTTAAAAACTCAATAATAAAAATTTCAATGGTGAAATTAAAAATGTAAAAAATTAATTTAAAAATTGAAAAATTAAAAATATGAATTTTGTAACCCATTTTTCAAAGTATTTAAAAAATTCATTTATTATTATGCACTATTATTGTTAGTGTTGCTTTATTGTTAGTTTTTGTAACATATTGTTTATTTATGTTTAATTTTGTTGATAACTTTGATTTTTTTTTTGTTTTTTATTGTTTCTTTGTGTTGCTTACTATTTTTTTATATTCCTAATTCAAATTTCTCATTTTAGGTGATTGTACATAAATCTATATATGAATTTATTATTCTGAATAAGTAACAAAGAGAAGTAAAAACTTAAATAAACAAGTAACATCAAATTCAAAATAACAATAAACAACACGATGCAACATAAAATAACACGATGCAACAACAAGCAACACGATGCAACAACAAGCAACACGATGCAACAACAAGCAACACGATGCAACAAAAAGCAACATGTTACAACAAGAAGCAACAATTATATCATATATAACTTTCACAATAAATATATAATTCAATTTATTACAACTATCAATATATTATTGTTTAGCTTTGGTTTTTATCATTTCTTCCTTTTATGCATCTTAACACATAGTAGCTTGTCATCTTTATTGGGATTTGGCTCTCTTGTCTTCTTTTCATCACTGATCTTCTCGGTCTTATTATCACCTTCATGTGCTTTTTTCGATTTATGTGCCTGCAATAAGAATACAATCACAATCACACAAATATTACAAAAATATAAGCAATTATAGCACACTGAAGTTGGACATGTTTATGCAATATGCTTAATTACACTACTGTTTTCTTTAGTTCTCTGATTCGGTATTACTTTCTGAAGTAGGTGCTTTTCTTTTTCTTTCATTTTAATGTTGAACTTGAATTTCAGTATATTATCATGACTCAAATTTATAACTAAAACATATTTGTGAGTTGCAATCAGAAGGCCTGAAACTTTCTCTGTCATGCAAGTTATATGAATTGAACATCCAAATATGGATTTGAAGAATCCTGGATTTAGAATTAGTATACAAAAGCTGATAAGTCCTTCAGAAACTTCTAATACTCTATGATATACTAATTATAGTCATAAAATCATTTAGGATAAACTCAAATGTTTAGGATAACAATATGACATTCAATTAAAAAGTTAGATACGAATAACAACCCTATCTGCAATCAATTGACAGTCCGCAAACCATTTGATATAATGGATTTAGATTCGTTATATTGAAGAGGATAAATGGGAAAAAATACACCCCAACAACTTGCAAAGAAATAAACTCCAGAACAAAAATGAAAGCTAATGTTATGCCAGTCAATTAAGGAAGCAATTTGATCGCTCCATTATCTCTAATTTCGAAAAATCAAAATGTCTTGTGCATAGAAATGAAAAAAGGGAGAGAGATGCCAAATGATTCCTCGATTCGCCAACAATGTCTGAAATCCGCATATAAAATGCTAAGAGATATAGATAACACATAGAGAGCAAGCAGAACCGAAGAGCATACCGGTGAGTAGAATCAATTGAGGAAATCTTTAGAGTAGCAAGAGAAAAAATGAGGTGCATCTCCAACTTGGAGGAGGAGGATGGCGTGGTGCGAGCAATCTAGATGAAGCTTGAAGGAGTTCAGTCTAGATGTGATTCCATGTTTACTCCATAAATGAGAATGGCAGAGCCATCAATTTTAAACTCAAAGGATTTGATTTCAATTATGAACCTTTGGATTGTAGATCTGAAAGTGATAGAGAATCACCTTGGACATCATTGCATATGGTTGCCTCCCAAGATGCTGTTTTTTCCTCCAAGTTTCCCCCCAACGCAGGTATGAGGAAAAGAGAGTCGCCATGTTTGCTCGCCGGAGACGAGGTCTGCACCGGTCTCTACTCTGCGGTCGCAATATCCCAGCGCTCGTTCCTGTGGATGTCGGACGAATGATGAACAGATGCAAGGACTGAACGATGTTCAATGAATCTGCGGAGTACTCTGGTCGCGGCGCTGAAAATCCGATCATCTGTGGCTGATCTACGCCAATGGAATCTCCACCCCTGAGAAAAGAGTGGGAATGGGAACTCTAGCTCTCGGTTGAATAAAAGTCTGGAAGTGAAATAAAGAAACAAAATTGAAAATATAAAAGTTTAAAAGTGAAAAGGAAAAATAACTAAGACATTAATGATATACGGACCACAAAAGTGGTCTAAACGGGTAATTTCCACTAAAAAGAAACACATGCCACTTCCTTCTTCTTGGGCTATGAGGCCCAACTTTTTTTTTTAATTCTTTATCAATCTGTCCAGAATTCATGCTTTACTCCAATTTCACTCCAAGTGAGCTCCAAAAATCTGAAAAATCATCCAAAAACAACCAAACACGCGGGATACCACCAAAATGATAAAACCAAGAATTTCCCGCTAGTTAGTGACAAAAGAAAACCATTTAAGTGCAAAATTGGGCCTAAAGCATGCTTGCAAATCTTGTCATGTTTGCGACTTATCAACTTGTTAAATCATTGTACGGGCTCAAACAAGTCACCAAACAATGGCATCAAAAGTTTGATTAAATTATTTTGTCAATGGTTTTAGTTTAAACCAACCGGGCAAGCGTATCTATAGCCGATTTGATGTTTTAGGGGTTGATGTGTTTATATGTCTCTATGTTGATGACATGCTGATTTTGGAACAGATCAAAATCAGGTTGATGAAACTAAAAAGTTGTTATCATCAAGGTTCTCCATGAAGGATGTGGGGGATATAGATGTGATCCTTGGAATAAGGATTAAACGGGTAAACAAAGAGATTGCTTTGACACAAGCTCACTATGCTGAGAATATTCTCAACAGGTTTAATTAGAGTGATTGTTCACCCGTTAGTAATTCCATATATGGATCCTAGTGTGAAGTTGATGCCTAATAAAGAAAAGAAAATATCACATCTTGAGTGCTCTATAGCTATTGGTTGTTTGATGTATGTCATGACAAGCACTCAACCCGATATTGCTTATGCCATGGGTAGGTTGAGACGGTATACTAGTGATCCTAGTACTCAACATTGGCAAGCAATGAAGAAAGTATTCAAGCATTTAAAGAGAACCATGGATTATGATTTGTGTTACTTTAAGTATTGTCATTTGATGTTAATGGGATATTCGGATTCAAGTTGGATATCCAAGATAGATCAGAGGATCATTCTTCTACAAGTTGTTGGGTATTCTTGCTTAGGGGAGGTGTCATTTCCTTGATATCCAAGAAGCAAACTTGTATCACAAGTTCAACAATGGAATCTAAGTTTGTTGCGTTGGCTACCACTGGTAAAGAGGTAGAGTGATTAAGAAATTTAATTTTTTAGATTCCGTTTTGGGCGAAATGGATTGCACCTATTTCTGTTCATTGTGATAGTGTTGCCACTTTGGCTAAAGCATATAGTCATGTTTATATGACAAGTCTAGACACTTGTGTTAGGCACAATGATTATGCCATAAATAAATGCCCAGTATCAACCAGATTCATTCATTATAACTAGAGGGGCCCAGTTATATACTAGGCATTTATTTATGGCATCTGAAATTGGGGCCCAAAGAGACTGGCAGACCAATTGCAAATATGGAAAGCCTGTTCAAATAAAAGGCGACATTCCTTCAATCGTGCTGTGCAATCCTGGGGAATGTTCTTCGTAAAAAGATTTCCTTGAAAAAAAGGAAAATGTGGGTCTCCGCGATTGGACATTAAAATTGCAAATTTCGAATTTATCAAATTGAATATGTTTATTCTAAGTGAGTGACAGTTGTGCGATGCAAGCGAATAATGACCCCGGAAAATCCGGGATAATCAGTTCCAAAAATCTAAAATCCAGAATCCGTTCTAAAAAACGGTGGATTCCAAGGAGACGGCGAATAGATCTCCTCTGCGGGTGTAGTTACTATCTCCATATTTCCTGTCATAAATATGGATTTTCGCACCGCGTATACGCTCACCCCGGAACAATGAAGCAGAGGGGTCTACATATGGGAGGTACCCAATCCTCTGTATTTCACTGAATACCCTATACAGGCTTTATTTATGCCATAAATAAATGCCCGGTATATAAATCCGCTTTAAACCAAACCTTACATTTTTTGTGGCCCAAAATAACAATGGGCCCCGATGTTAGAAAGTGTTTGCAATAACTTAAAAAAGTATTTATCGGCTTTTGACTTAAAAAAAGCTAAAATTAGTGTTTTCAAGTGACAATTTCAGTCCTACTTAAAAAAGGGTTTCTGGGCTTTCATGTGAAAAGTGATTTTTACTTTTTCCATAACACAAAAAGCACTTCTCTTACAAAACACTATGAACTTTTACTTTTCAAAATCACTTTTATCTCAAACACTATTAAGTTTTATTACTAATCATTTTTTCCAAAACAACTTCCAAAAGTGTTTTTTTAAGCCGAAACAATTGCAAACACTCCCTTAAGCTATTACTAAATTATAAATCTTACTCTATATAAGTTTAGATACCTATATTAGTTAAAATGATTGACCAAATCTTATCATCATTGACTGAAAATGTCTAAAATAGCTAACTAAAAAAGGTCAAGATGTACGAATTTGATACGTAGTATATTAATATGATCGATTGTATAATTCTTTAATTGAGTACGTCTAAGCTAAGCTAGGCTTCAAAATTGCCGATAAAATGATAGGGACATGGATAGCCTATAATAATAAGAATAATAGACCTATTATACTGGAAGACCTATATATCATAAAAAGAAGCATGTAAGAACATATGTGCACTGCATGCATGAAAGAAGCATGCATATATAACAATGATGTTGTACATACAACACTTATCTAATTTAACCTCAATTCAATATAATTCAAATCAATTCAATTCAATAAGATTTGAGTTTATACAAAGATCCTGCAATTACTAATAAATGATAAATCAGCTGCTAGCTAGGAGTTACTCTTGGGAGGTGAAGAAGATTGGAAGGAAGGATTGATAATGAAGTAATCATCCAAAAAATTGGAGAATTGGCCATTCGAGGCGCTTCTAAGCGCCTCTAAAAAATGTGTCGCAAATTGAAATTCGCAGCGCTTTTTATTAGATAAGCGCCTCCAATAAGTTTTTTTATTTGTTTATTTTCAGTCATTAGCGGCACTTCTTATATTAAAAACGCCGCATGCCTGGAGGCACTTTTTTATCTTCAAACGCCTCCAATGATTTTTAAATAATACGGAGTAGATACAAACGAACTTTTGAGGCGCTTTTTGGTGTGATAAGTGCCTCCAATTTTTAAGATTTGTTAATTTGTTTTTTTTAACATTCATATTTCATAAAGCATAAATACATGTCATGCGAGTGGATTCCTAGCTGACACCATAATAATAAAATTAAAAAAAATTGTTTCATTTTACATACTCGTTAACGGAAATTACAAAGGCAACACTACAAATGTTTAAGCTTGAACAAATTTATCATAAACTACACATAATTCTGATTTACATGTTCATAACTTCATTTATAACAAAATTGGACCATATAATCTATATTCTTCTAATATCATCAATCTTCTTGTGTGTATGCTTCAGACCTTGAATTCCAAACCTGAAATATTCATACAAATTAAAAGAACAATGAAATCAATAGTATAAACTGAATTATATACATCGGTATACTTCGTAATTTCGTAAAACCTTATGAATCGAAGTCCAACATTTGAAACTTTGCAATACATGAGGAACTTTGCAACCTTAATCTAGTATATATATATTATAGTCAATTTAGAATAATTAAACCTTTGCTTTAGCAAGAGCAGTAACTAAATGTCAAGGCTTCTCGTTGTTCAATAAAAAAACTCTAGGCTACTCTTTCTGAATAGATCTCTCAAGGATGTTGCGTTCTAAATCACATAAAAAGTCACGTATAGGCAAAAATAACAATTACCTGGAGAAATCCAGAATTTACAAAAACTAAGCACACTATTTTCACATATAAACTGCCAAATCAGATAAGCAGATAAGCAGAATTGGATAATGAAATGCAAAAATTCATATTAAACAGAACATTCGTTAATGGGATAAGCAGAAATATACAATTCAAGAAACGAGTAACCTCTATTGATGTCTGCCGATGTAGAAGCCCAGACAAATGGAAGAGGATCATTTTGGTGGCTTGTTCTTGAACGGTTTATTGAAGCTTTGAAGTTCAATTCGAAGCTGAAACGAATCGACAAATTCATAAAAAGTTAATGGTTTCAAGTTAATAAATTCATAACAAAGCAAGATTACTTCTCAGCTCCGTCAAAACATGGCCTGGTAGAATTAAATATTTACTTCCTAGGCCTTGATAGAAGATTAAGGATAAGACGCCCTACATCAAATTGGGGCCCTGCGTAGAAAAATACGGAGTAGAGGAACAAAGCTAGGTCTGGCACTACGTATATAAATACGGAGTAGAAACTAAAAACTTAGAAAAAGTACGCAAATTACCGTAGAGGTGGATTCATATCCCTGTCTAGGTAGCCGGAGTTGGAAGCTGTGGGGATAGGGAACGGCATCGCTGCGAGGACCGCCATAGGGCATAGGGTCACGCTTCCTTGGCTAAAGAAGGAGGGCTTCATCCATCTGCACTATGTCTTGCTAACCGTCTGAATTAGGGCAGATCTGCATTCTGCACTTTAGTTTTTATACGGAATATTTAGAGACGCTTGGGTAAAGCAAGTGCGCACGTAGTATTTATTTACCGATTAACTCAATTTTATACGGAGTAAATTGGAGGCGTTTGTGGACTACAAAGCGCCGCACGCATCACTAAAATTTTTAGGGAAAACTGTCAAATAGATCCTCGAACTTTCATAAAAAAGTCAATTAAGTCCTTCTATAGGAGACTTTGTCCGGTCGTCGCGATTTGGGGCGGTTTCCAGTGGAATTTTTTGATGAAATTTTTTGAGCATCTTGTTCATCAAGTCTAGTTTACTCATACCAAATTTAAGATAAAAATTTAATCGGAAGCGCAATTAAATTAATTCAAGAACGCAAAAATGCGCAATTATCTTCAAGAATTAATTTGAATGTGTTCCCGATTGAATTGTTAGCTGAAATTTAGTATGAGTAAACTAGACTTGGTGAATAAGATGCTCAAAAAAATTC